AAGGAAGATTACCACACTCTGCAAGAAACACAAGAGGAAGCCTGCTCGGGTACCAGGTTGTCCTCTGCCTACTACTGCACTCCCGGTTAAGAGTCACGATAGGATCTCCCCTGGTGCAAGTCCCACATCCCCAGAGGGAATATCATTGTCCCCAAGTCCAGTCCGCCGCTTTCTTGGCCATTGTTGCTTATGGGGTCAGAAGCAGCCAAAGAAGTGGGATCCACAAATGGGCCCTTCGTCAGACCTGGGACCAGCGGAGTTCTCAGACCTGGATGACTGGACCTTTGGCTTACAGGGGGACCCAAATGGCAAGCATGGGAATTGGGTGATTTGTGTCATGATGTATGAAGTAGGGTGATGCTTTAACAACATTTACATTTTTATTTGATACATAACTCTTACTGTTTGCTCCTAGCTGAACAACCACCAGTGATATTATCTTTTCACCTGTTGTGATGCACTCATAATTGTTAATCTGTTTACAAAACTACTCTTTCACTCATACATTGGTGGGTAGACACAACTAAGCCATAGGTTACACTACTATTACAATCAGCAATTATTTTGTATTCTTCATGTCTAGCCAACCTTACAAAACTGCAAATCTTGCTACTGACTATATTCAAGCCTGATTTTTTGTATTAAATTGTTATTTTCTTTTATAACACCACATACCACTACAAACTAAATATGCAGTATCCCTGTGTACAATTGTTTCTAAATGTATACTGATGAGCTTGCAAATTCTGTTGTGGTATTGCAAGTTTCCCTGTTTATCCATGCACAACAAACGAAATGATTTCCAAATCTGTAAAAGCAAGTCTTCAATGGAGCATGTCTGCAGGTTCCACTGGTTTCCATTGTGACTTACCCACTTTTAGTACTTGAGACCACTTTTCAGAACACAACACTGTTTATACATAACCCCCATAAAAACCTTTCATGGAACAACCACATTTATTTGAGAATCCTGAAAGACATATATGGTCTCTAAAAAGGCAGAGAACATGGAATGAAAATATGAATACAGTGCTCTCAAAGGAAGGCTTTTCATGCCCATATTCCAAGATTAAAAAGAATGTTCACACACCTAAAGTACTTGCTAAATAGCTTTATGTGTGACTATTGGGCCCTATTTTTTCATTTTACAAAAGTGCAGATTTCAATGGAATTTAAGACTTTTAAAAACAAAAAAGATGGCTCATTGAACTGCATTTGAGAAGTCTGTGATTGAACAGCCACAGAAAGTCTGGGGTGGGGAAGAAGGGGAGAGCTGTTAACAGCTGCAGACAAGTTATTTTTAGATATATCAACAATAAAAATGTCCCTTTTAAATGCGCACATATTTTTATTGGCAGTATATCTACTAAATATGTGCAGGGATAGCTTTCGGCTCTCTGGTTGAGGTGAAGAGCTGCTCTGAGCAGTCGCCAGGTGAGGAATAAATCCATTTTAAAATAGTATGACTCCTTATAATAAGGAAGGGGGAGTCACCAGGGCACTACTGGCACTACAACCATTAGTGGTTATAATGCTTGGAGTGTTTTTAAACATATCGACAGCATAGCACAGTTTAAGAAAGTGTTGGATATATAAGATAAGTGACTAAAGAAAGTATTTAGAAAATTGGGCAGAACTAGGTGAGCTGAATGGTTCTTTTCTGTCATTTCTAAATACATCAGTTCTTGCATACACCAATCTTCTGTAAGGCCATCTATTGGACTTGAGTTCCTGTCCCTGTTCCAATCCACCCTGGACCTTTATGTAACCTTTATATTGAATATGGAGGATGTCGGGCAACTATAAGCCAGTAAGCCTTACTTCAGTAGTGGGGAAACTGATGGAAACCATGTTAAAGGATAGGATTGATGAACATCTAAAAACACATGGATTTCAAGATCAGAGACAACATGGGTTTACTTCAGGGAGATCATGCCAAACTAATCTTATTGATTTTTTTGATTGGGTAACTAAAATTATAGATCAGGGTGGTGCAGTAGACATTGCTTATCTAGATTTCAGTAAGGCTTTTGACACTGTTGCACATAGAAGGCTTATCAATAAACTGCAATCTTTAAGTTTGGATTCCAATATTGTTGAATGGGTAAGGCAGTGGCTGAGTGACAGGCAACAGAGGGTTGTAGTTAATGGAATATATTCGAAACTTGGACTTGTCACCAGTGGGGTACCTCAGGGATCTGTACTTGGACCCATTCTCTTTAATATTTTTATTAGTGATATTGCAGAAGGTCTTGATGGTAAGGTATGTCTTTTTGCTGATGATACTAAGATATGTAACAGGGTTGATGTTCCAGGAGGGATAAGCCAAATGACAAATGATTTAGGTAAACTAGAAAAATGGTCAGAATTGTGGCAACTGACATTTAATGTGGATAAGTGCAAGATAATGCATCTTGGACGTAAAAACCCAAGGGCAGAGTACAGAATATTTGATAGAGTCCTAACCTTAACATATGAGGAAAGGGATTTAGGGGTGATTATTTCTGATGACTTAAAGGTAGGCAGACAATGTAATCAGGCCCAGAGGGCCGCGATGGCCATGGGGCCGAGGCTGGCAGGGGATCTCCCCGGCCGGCCGCTGTAGGGCCAGCGCTATCCGAGCGCCGGCCCTGCTGTGGGCCGGTGGGGAGATCAAAGATCTCCCTCACCAGCCCACAGACAGGGAGATGCGGCCGCCGGCTGGGGAGGGAGGAAGGCAGGAGAGGACCGGCGGAGCTCTAACAAGCAGCTCCGCCGGGTCCTCTCGCGGGATTCTGAGCGTTGCCGCGGTTACCACGGCAACGCTCAGATCTCGCGAGAGTGAACTCTAACCCGCAGGACCACCAGGGAAGGCAGCACCCTCCATGTCAGCATGCCCCCCCCCCCTCCAGGCTAAAGGTAAGAAGGGGGGGGGGACACATAACTTTTTTTTTTTTAATTATTAATTTAAAAAATATATATACACACAGGCAATCCCACAAGCATGCGCCAAACACATGCACCATACACTTTCCTGGCCCTTTTGTCCTCTGGTATCCCACTTGGAGACACCAGAGACAATTTAAAAGCAAACACAGTGCAAGCATGTTATTACATTTGCTTGCGCTGCGCAGAACAAATACAGGGCCTTTTTCTAATGCTAGAGCTCTTCAGCGGAGCTCTGTGCATGAACCAACATGCTCACTTTCAGAGGGGGTGTACTTGTCATTAGTGATGACAAAACACACCCTCTCTGGCCCTGCCTCCTTCTTGGGGGGCCACTCTAATTGAAAAATGCCCGGGCCTAATTTTTTTCCCAGTCCGGCCCTGAATGTAATAGAGCAGCAGGAAATGCTAGCAGAATGCTTGGTTGAATAGGGAGAGGTATTAGCAGTAGAAAGAGGGAAGTGCTCATGCCATTGTACAGAGCACTGGTGAGACCTCACTTGGAGTATTGTACACAGTACTGGAGACCGTATCTTCAGAAGGATATTGATACCTTAGAGAGGGTTCAGAGAAGGGCTACTAAACTGGTTCATGGATTGCGGGATAAAACTTACCAGGAAAGGTTAAAGGATCTTAACATGTATAGCTTGGAGGAAAGACGAGACAGGGGGGATATGATAGAAACATTTAAATATATAAAGGGAATCAACACAGTAAAGGAGGAGACTATATTTAAAAGAAGAAAAACTACCACAACTAGAGGACATAGTCTTAAATTAGAGGGACAAAGGTTTAAAAATAATATCAGGAAGTATTACTTTACTGAGAGGGTAGTGGATGCATGGAATAGCCTTCCAGCTGAAGTGGTAGAGGTTAACACAGTAAAGGAGTTTAAGCATGCGTGGGATAGGCATAAGGCTATCCTAACTATTAGATAAGGCTAGGGACTAATGAAAGTATTTAGAAAATTGGGCAGACTAGATGGGCCGAATGGTTCTTATCTGCCATCACATTCTATGTTTCTATGTTTCTATGATGATTGATATATGATATCTGATCTTTAATGTTGATTTCTTGAGGGAAAAAAACTCTCACATTGGATCTTTAAATGTGAGTATTTTTTTCTAAGTTTAATGAATAAATCCATTAATGCACATAATTGAAAACAATAACATATTTACATGTAAAAAAAAAAAATATAATATAATTATAACAAACTGCTAAGAAAATAAAACAAACTGATATGCATTTGTGTATTAAGCATATTCCATTTCTATTACATCAGCGGATGTTTAGATATAACATTAAATTATGCCGCTTTAAATTGTTTTGCATTCATTAATATTGAACAGAATGGTCCTGTCTTCCATACATTTTAGATCATGACAGACAAAGCTAAATCTAGATAGTACCCTCTGGTCTCTTGAGAGAAATTAAATTATCTAATCTTTGAAATAAAGGTAATTTCCTTCTGTCAAGATTATGAATCTTATCTGAACCCATTGCCTTATTGCACAGCTAACCAATCTGTTTTGTATGCTATAAAGCACATCTGATTTAAATCAAAGAAAGCAATCACTGTCTTTAGTATTTTGAATTCATTCACCAGACATCCTAGGTCATATCTTTTAAGTTAATTCACTTATTCCAGATTAAAATATTACAACATATCAGCTTAGAGACGCCCAATATGGATCTTTGCAACCAAATGTTCATTTAGTCATAGGACACGGTATTAAAGATAGTTGTTGATTGAAATAAATACCCAAATAAATCTTTGCCCTCTGTATGGAGACACTGATCTTTCCTCATAGAGATGCATTGATACAATGCATCTCTGTGAGGAGATGCAGATTGGCCAGAAACCCCCACCCCCCATCCCCTTTGCTACCCTAAATATAGTAAAATCATACCTTTATTCCAGTCTTCTGCCGCTTGCTCTGCACCTGGTCTGCTTCATTGGCTGAGATCATCAAAATTGACAATCTCAGCCAATCCAATGCTTTCAATCCAATACTCAGTCAAGGAGGCAGATTAGTGGCAGAGCGAGTGCCAGAAGACTGTAATAAAGGTATGATTTTCACCACCCTTCCACCACCCCCCTTGCTACCCTAAATATAGTTATTTAGGGTAGCAAGGGGGGTGGTGGAAGGGGGGAAGAGGGGAAGGAGTAGGCTAGATAGTGTTTTTAACACTATAGGTCCACTAATACATGTTTGTGTTCCTGACCTTATAGTGTTCCTTTAGATTTTAACAAAACGCCAAAATGTGGAAGAGACATTTTCTTAGTAAGTTACAATTATATTATTGTGGATATTGGGTGTAGGGGTTCCAGTTTCTTAGAATCAGATTATATTTTCAGACTTGCACACAACAATGTCTAGAGGTTATAGAAAATGGTTGAATAAAGAACACATGATCTAAGTGATGAAGAATATTCATGTTACACTGAGAACGGCCTCATAAACAATGCAATTCTCTGGGAAATATTCCATGGTTAAGCAGATATTAATCACTCTTTACAAAAGTGGCATGCAGAATGGTGTTTTAGAACAATATGCATAACATTAAAAATCTGTAAACAGATAAGAAGCAGCAAAAGAAGATCATATGAGGTTTTAATCCTGAGTTGTTGAATATGTAGCAGCTAGCATCCTGTCTTTTTTCCACCAAACCCACAATCCAAAGTGGGAGATATACCTGGCCGTTACAAACTGTTACTTTATAGAACATTACACTCATTCAAGTGGTGTTCATGTCTTTAAAAGTAGCAATGATCGAAGGGTCTTTAGAATGTTTCTCCACAAGCAGTCATATTAGGCAAACTGTGAGTGGTCCATAGTTCAATATTACATTTGCTGTTTTTGTTACATATTGCATACATCAGGGAAGATTTGTCAAAGTGTTCTGAAAAGTACCCTTTATTTTTTTTTTTCTAACCAATTCATATTTATTAAATTGTTCTAAGAATGTTCTAAAAATTGCAAGCTTTTTTCTGTCTATATTCCATAATTTTTCAAGGAAGGGACAGAACAATCTGACAGTCTTAGTAGAAGGCACAACACTATCAGTGATGCTTTTGATAAATCACTCTCAACTACCATCTAAGCATTGTTTAAATGCCACAGCTTGAGCATATGCTTCTCTCTATGGTTTAAGTCTATGTTCATTTGATTACGTCCAACAGGTTAATACACCATGTTGTATGCAAAATAAGTTTAAAGAAACACTATAATTTTGGGAATACAAACCCTACTTAAGTCTGTATTTCTGTACTTAGTACTATTAGGTTCCCCCTTCCCGTTTGGCACTGACAGGGTTACCCTCTGTACTTATCTTTTTTCCAATGCCAAGGGTCCCTCGGTGAAGCTCACCGCTACTTCCAAGGTACAGTCACGAAGGAGGCAGGGCCTTCTCTGAAAGAGTCTAATCCAGTGCTCCTCATAGATGCACATACACAGCGAGTACTGCATACACATTCAAACTTTCCCACAGCCCTATGGGGCTTTTGCTTCACATGACCGAGTTAACCCTGCAATGGAAACATTGCAGTTTCTCAAAAACTGCAATGTTTTACACTGCAGGATTAAGGGGACAGAGACTCTGCACCCAGACCACTTCATCTCAGTAGTGTACCTTTAACACCTTATGTAGCAAGACTCCATCAGAGAGAGACATTTACCTAGGAATTTTAACAGCTTCATGTCACACTGCAGAGCAGCACAAGTATACATTGTACATGGTGAGTATTTACTATAATTGTTTCTTGAAATTGCCAATCCATCTACAAGTACACAGCATTGTGACAGCCATTAATTCAAAGACACATTAAATATATAATATATTTTAAAGGTGCTAGGAAAGTAGGAAGCATATTATTTGTCAAATAAGTAAGACATTTAAAGCAAACCATATATTAAGAAGATTAAGTAATAACAATAAATAATAATTTAATATTTTAAAGTGTCATGTATAATGATGCGAATTTCAACAGCAGTTTTGGAATTTTTTTAAATAAAGTGATTGATTCAGTCCTTAATATAATCAACCAATCAGTAAATTATGTGCAAATGAAGAAATACTAATACAATACCAATATATCCATTAAAGAAGAACAAAACAAAGTCAAAGCTTGATAAATGTTTATAGAATTTAAGGGAAACAAAAGCATATTTAACAGCTTGTATGAGATTCTTTATAGAATACTTAATTTATAAGCAGACTATAGTATTTTTGATGCTTTTACTCTTTGAGTGTTATTATTCTTAAAATGTCAGATACACATAATATATTTTAAGATAAGCACTATCTTTACATGATACATACTGCAAAACATATCAGAAATGCTATAGGATGTTAAGGTCCTCGCACAAGCATAGTGGCATTGTCATATTAAATTCCATATTTTATAATTTAGTACAGTGGTTGCCAAACTTTTTAGGTTCAAGGCGCCCTTAATATTTCAGTATTTTTCCAAGGCGCCCCAAGTTAAAAGAATTTCCTAGGTTGTACAGTGCAGTGGCAGATACTGGGCCCCTGTTTGGGTGGGCAATGTGTGTGTTTGGGGGGGTAATGTGTGTACGGGGGGGGGCGGTTTGTGTGTATTGGGGTATGTGTATGGGTGTGGTAGTGTGTGTATGGGGGGTAGTGTGAGTGTATGGGGGGTAATTGTGTATACTGGGGGAATTATTGTGGGTCTGTGGAGGTAGGAGGCAGGTAAATATAAACTTTTATTAATGTTTTTTAATAAAAAAATTATTATAATTATTTTGATAACCCCCCTCACTGCTTTCCTTTGCCTGGGAGGAGAGACAGTGCAAGACAATCCCTGGTGGTCAGGTGGTGAGAGTGAACGCTAGAGTTCACCCTCGCGAGATTCAGAGTGTTGCCATGGTAAACGCGGTAACACTCCGAGCTCGCGAAAGGAGAACCCGGCGGAGCCGCAGGTTAAAGCTCCCTGGGTCCTCTCTCCTTTCCTCCCCTGCCAGCTGCCAGCATTACACTGCTAGCAGGCTGGAGAGGGAGATCTCTGATCTCCACTCCGGCCTTGCAGAGCCGGCAGGGGAGACGGAGGCATGGTTCCTGGTGCTGTCATCATAGCACCCCTATAGGCACCCAGTTTGGGAACTGCTGGTTTAGTATACTTAATACACCAATGTAAAGGACTTACAGACCAAAAATTATGGAATATATTAGCAATATCTGATCTGAACGCCAATTGTGGCAGCCCTATTAATTATTTTTCATAAGATATCTACTATCCCTGATACTGGAAGCCATACACTTGTATTAAAGAAACACTATAGGTTCAGGAACAAAAATGTGTATTCCTCACCCTATATTGTTAAAAACCATGCTAGTCCTCCTTGCCCCTTCTTTAATGACTAGAAAACACACCTTATTCCGAGCACCGTGTGGGTCTGCCCCGATCTGCCTCCATGACTCACGTCATTAGAATTGACGATCTCAACAAATCACAATGCTTTCCCATAAAGCATTGGGAAGAGGAGGGGCAAATGGACAATCAGAATCTCCTCATACAGATGCATTGAATTAATGCATCTCTGTAGGAGACACTGAACGTTAGTACTTCACACTGACCCAGGAAGCATCTCTTGTGGCTGTTAGAGGAGTGGTGACTATAGGTGTTCCTAGGCTTTAATGTTTACATTAAAAAAACTGCAGGGACAGGCTATACTTGCCAGAGTAACTACGTTAAGCTGTAGTTGATCTTGTGATTAAACTGTCACTTTAAACTGAATATATTTTTGTTGGTTAAAGCCTCTATATGATTATAGAAATGGGTAGTTGACAGTGCAGTACGACAATGGTTCAAACCATTTAAATAAAGTATTTCAAAGAAATTTATACTAATTGGAAAAAAAGGACAGTTTACGACAACCATTGCTTCAAATTGCAGTTCTTACCTTCTTTTGATCGAGTAGCATAAAAAATTATGTTTTAAAGTCTGAATGTGATGGAGTTGAGTATTTTTACTTAAACTTGAATTGCAATGTAGATATGTAACTGCACTGGTAGTTTTATAAATACATCTCATGGTGATAAAAAAAAAAATCTGTATAGTAGTATGATATATACTCTAATTTGCTAAATCTAGATTATTGTTTGATCATTTTTAAGTTGATCATTTTTAAAGCATCATGATGATGTATGTACATGAAATGGATGAATTAAATATATTCTTGCAAACAATATTGAAACCATAAAATGTAAAACTGATGCTAGTTAATGTTGTCTTTGAAAAGTGTCTATTTTTACCTGGCATAGGTGACAAACTCACGTTTTTCAAAAATTGAAGTTGAGTATTTTAACTTACATGTCAAATCTTTTCAGGATTGTTCACAACTCAAAATCAAATGAATGGCGACATTAAGCTTGCTTTATTGCACTACACAAGAGAAGGATCCCTGCAGGGGCTTCCAATTATAGGCAATCATAAGGAACAAATGAGTGATGATATCCTGCTGTATGGTTCCTCCTTGGTTTTGTAAAAACAGCTTCTGGTGATATTTGGAGGGGGAAGTATATAAATCACTAACGTGACTCAAAAAGACATAGAAATTGGACAAATATTGAGGACATCACTTTCGGGCTTATATAACCGAGTGAATGGTCTATTAATCCAGCTTTACTTTTCAAGTTTTAAAACTAGTGTAATTTTACCTTTGGGGATCATAAGGAAAAAGTTTGTCCCTGATTCTCAGGTATCTCGGATGCTGATTCTTGAGAAGCAGTGATGACAATTATTTTGAAAATCTACCCATACATTCCAAGCTTTTTTAAATGCCACTTTCATGATACAATTAATATAACAACTGTCTTAAGTTAAACTCAACAACGTTCCTTGTGAACTTTATGTGGGAAAAAAAATTATTTGTTTGATGAAGAAACACATATACATGTAGAGAAAACAGACTGTCTGAGACTGATGGAAATGACCTGGCTTTTATTTTATACATGGGGGGCGTGGGAGTGCATAATATTAAAGTTAAGAATCATTCCAACATAAGAAATAAATATATATATACACTGCTCAAAAAAATAAAGGGAACACTTAAATAACACAATGTGACTCCAAGTCAATCACACTTCTGTGAAATCAAACTGTCCACTTAGGAAGCAACACTGAGTGACAATCAATTTCA